CATTCCATATAAAATTTATTTAATAAGTGATCGGTCTGATGGGTCAATCTAATTATTATATGAATAAGTTAAAATTAAACTCATATTAAGGGTGATTCCTATTTACTCCTATCCTTCTTGTTCATAGCCAAGTTTGATAGTGTAATTAGGCAGATGAACAAAAAATACGGATTATATATGCAAGTTTGAATCTAAGGTACAAGGCTCGTGAAGATTATAGAAAGATTTTGGGGGAATTGGGATAACTTGCATAATAAAAGTATAGTGGTTCACCGAGTTTGGGAGCTCGGCTAATCACTCTCAAGGGAGTCTCTTGCTCCTTGGATCTATATTGACGGCTGGTATAAATTACATAATATTTTTCATACAATCGAGGAATCTCCTTCAATGGAGACCTTATTCGATATTTATAACCCAATTTTTATTTCTAAAGGAGCTGCAGGGGGATCTCAGTCCTTCATTGACGGGATCTCCCTTGATCTTGGAAGAGGATCTTGAGTGGTTGAGAGATTTGTACCTTACTTACCATCCTCTATTACTTCGGGATATCTCTTGTTAGTCAGGTGTCCCCTTTTCATCTTTTTTAATGTTTCTTCTTAGGCGAGCTCATAGGTCTGGGCCTATGAGCTCTGGGTTCATTATTTGATCTTTTTGTTTAACCTCACTTCCCAATCTTGTACTTAGCCAACATCTTTTCCACATATCATCAAAGTTCATGTTTGACAGGTTTAAAACATGCTTAATTGTATTCGTATTGATGCATTTCAAGTGTGAATTTAGCTGGTTTATCTGTTAATCAACCAGAATTTGCTAAAATAAAATAAAATAAAACTTATTTTTTCAGTGTGGATATATATTTTAGTTTACGAATTGTATCTCAAATTGTCGAGTCTAATGTTAATGAAAAAGGGGCACGTGTGTAGCCAACTTTGCCACGTGAGGGGCAGATAAGATATTACATAACAATGATGAGAAGTGGTCCCTGTCAAGCGTGTGAGGGGAGGGTGAGATTCACGTGACATCACCCAAAAAAGACGACAGATAAGAGAAGAAGGTTGGCCCGTCAACAATCAATCTGGTTTGCAGTTGGAAAGTTTTCTCTCTCTCTCTCTCTCTCTCTCTCTCTCTCTCTCTCTCCATCTCTCCGGTAGGTGTACAGTAGCCAGCCATTTCTATTTTGTTGAGATCCAATAGCTTATTTACCTTTTTGGTTTTTAATTATATATTATTATACAATATTACAAAGGTAAAACAATGAAATTCAAATTAAAGACATTAATAGAGGACGGTGGCCGTTATGCCAACTGCTAATTTTTTTTTGCTAGGTAAAATTGTGGTAAAGGGCAATTAGACGTGGTAACCTAACCAATATGTTACTTTGAAGTTTTTATCAACTGTAAAATATTCGTTTTGAGTCATAGTTATGGACCTGAGATGATTGAGTGCGTCACCATATCATTACCGAGAACAAGTTCAGTCCTTTTAGTAATATCTGATTCACAGGAACTACTAGCACAAATGAGTTTAAATCCATAACCAATGAAGGAGGACGAAACTTTCACTCTCTACTAAAAGGCAGCCTATTGGTTAAAGCACATGGTTATTTAGTTTGATTCAATTAGATGAATAAATTAAGTGTAGAGCACCTATCCTATACTTTTGTATTTTTTTTTTCATAGTAGCTAAAGTAACATATTATAGTTCTTCTTTTACTAAGAAATGGTGTGAATGTATTTTAGGCGGGCTTTTTAACCATTCGTCCATTTTTTTTTTCTAGAGACTGAAGTATTCCATAAGCTATAAGGGCGAGTTATATGTAAAACATTGGAGAGCAAAGTGCAATAGAATATACGAAATCCTGATAAATCACTCTATCAACTGAAAATTCAATAAACAAACGTCAAATATGTTCAACAATTCTCATTAACAAGTAACAAGGTAAGATACTAGGTAAGATACTAGATAATTTGTCAGTTAAAAAGAAGCATATTAGGTACTTGTGGTTCCTCTCTTCTTCAATCTGCTACCCTCCCTCGCATAGGGTTGGAGCTTAAATCTCTTTAGTATGATGATCACCTAAATGGCCTAACGCTTGAGTCAGTCCTCTTTGAACATACTCAAGTTCGACCTAATCGAATGGAATTTCTATCTTATTGGAAAAAAAAAAAAAAGAGCGGGGGGGGGGGGGGG